TTTAAGATAAATTCTCAAATAAAAACTGTTACCAATAAAAGTTTTAAAGCATAAATTTTAGATGACTTTCACTGGGTTCATTACTGTGATAATTTATTAAGATTTAGAAATATTGTAATTGCCATTTTCATGTATTCATCTTCCATTACTTGTTATGTGCCATCGAGTTGGCTGCAACTCATAGCAACAACAGCTCTTAAGGCTGCCCTGTTGTAAGCCAGTTTTACTGATTCCAACACAGCAGCTCCCATTGCCCCAGTTACTGTATCAGTCCATCTCATCCGGGGTCTTTCTCTCCTGCCCTGTCCCTCCACTCTTTCGAGCATGATGTCCTTTTCCAAGGGCCAGTCCTTTCGGGCCGTGTGTCTAAAGTATGTGAGACAGAGGTTCAAAATCCTAGCACTCAAGGAGAAACTTGGTTCCACCTTCTAAAGACAGACCTGCTTGTTTTCTTGGTGGTCTATAGTATGTTCAAGACTCTTCTCTAGCACCACAGCTTGAAGGCATTCTTGAAGATTCTTTTTCTGTCATCCTTAGTTCTTGTCCAGCTCTCTTAGGTAAATAATAATGCTATTTAACAAATAAGTAGTAATATTTAGTATAGCTTTATGAAGGATATTCCATACACCATTCTTTTATTAAATCAAGTTATGTTTTATGTTGGAAAGGGAGTTTTAAATATGAAAAAGTCTATTCTTCTACAAGAGAGTATGACATTGGTATAAAAATGATAAATGGAGATCTAGACTTTGTGGAGAGCTCTGCTGGCATAGTCCATAGTGAGTTGCACTGCCCACTCAAAAGCTATGTTTTTCCTGTTGTTTGAACCTATCAGCAGCTCTTTAGGAGAAGGATGGGCAGTTTATACCTTTTATGATTTACAGTCTAGGAAATCCATTGGAAGGTTGCTCTGAGTCCAATCTGACTTACCAGCAGTGAGTTTGTGTTTTTGAAGCTTTGTGGTATAGAGCATTATGTATTGGGCTGCTAACCAGAAAGTCAGTTGTTTGAATCCACCAGGTGCTCTGCAGAAAAAAAAGACTGGTGTCACTTCCCATTAAGTGTCATAGCCTTGTGAACCTGATGGCACCTTGTTATGAGTTGAAGTTGACTAGACAGCAATGTGTAATACACTGTTTTTATACTCTTAGGAAATGAAGTCCCATAAGTCTATGAAGCATTTTGTACTTTAGGTGGTGTTAGGTGTCATCAAGTCAATTAGGACTTATAGTGCCCCTGTGAAAAACACATCTGACCATTTCCATGTCTTGTACCACCCTTTCGGTCTCTGATGTTCACCAACCCATTGTTATTGTCACCATGTCTGTTTGTCTTCTTGGGGTTCTTTCTCTTTTTTTCCTCTGACCTTCCATCGTTAGGGTACTTTAGATAGGACTTTTGAAACTTAAAATTCAATTATAAGTTAAAATGCTGTTTATTCCAATTCTCAATTTTTAAAATATTTACATATTAAAAAGTTCTTACACAATGGTATGTATTGAAGAAAATGGCATATTTAGAATATTGTTTTCAGCTAATATTTCAATATTATATTTTAGAAATATAAACCAATTAGTTTGAGTGTATAAAGTTTTTAATATATTTCTTTTATTACAGGTTGAAGAAGGTGGCTTACAAATTTGTGTTGAAATATGTGGTTGTGCTCTACAACTTGACCTTCGTGATGATCCCAAAACTAAATGTCTAATTTATAAAACAATTGCACATTTTTTGCCAAATGATTTGGAGATCCTCAGGATTTGTGCACTCTCTATTTTTTTTCTTGAGCGTTCCTTAGAAGCATATCATACTGTTGAGAGGCTTTATAAACGTCCAGATGAAGAATACAATGAAGGCACAAGTAGTGTTCAGAACCGTGTTCGCTTTGAATTACTTCCAATTTTGAAGAAAGGATTGTTTTTTGATCCTGAATTTTGGAACTTTGTAATGATTAAGAAAAACTGTGTAGCACTGTTGAGAGATAAATCAGCAGTTAGATTTTTAAATGAAAGTACACTGGAAAATTCTACAAGTAATCGGAAGAAGACATTGGAACAGCAAAGGATAATTGAAGAGCTTGACACTGTTACAGATCAGACTACTGGAGAGTTTGATTTTCATGATATATCTGGAGTGCAATCCAAAGGTCATCCAAATTCAAAGAAAAACTTTACAGCACTGAATTCCTCCAGAGTCGATCACAATGTCCCAAGGCATCGGTGTGTTTTGTGTAACAAGGAGATTCTAGGTGGTCATATTGTAAGGCATGCCCAGGCTCATCAGAAAAAAGGCAGTTTTTCATGCGTACTATGTGGTAGGAAATTTAGGAACAGAGGACTTATGCAGAAACATTTAAAAAATCATGTTAAGAAAATACAGAGACAGCAAATTGCTGTAGCTCAACAGGAGGACCAGGAAATCTCGGTTTTGGAAGAAATAAATTATTCTGAGTCTTCTATTTCATATGAAAATGGGAATTCTGATAGTAAGAGTTTGGAAGTCGAACCACATACTGTTTCTACTGATGGAAACAAAGAAGTTATCCATGAGCATGTGGCTGAATTCATTGAAATTCCTGTAAATGTTTCAGAAGCTGTTATTGAAAACATTATTAAAAATGGCAATCCAGATACTTCTTTAAGTAATGTTCTGGAGCCTTTACCTGAATGTGAAGATGATGATGAAGAAGAGGAAGAAGGTGATTATGAGGAAGATGATTATGACCTAAATCAAGAAACTTCAGTACTTCATAAAATCAATGGAACTGTGTGCCACCCAAAAGACATATATGCTACAGATCAAGAAGGAAATTTTAAGTGCCCTGCCATTGGCTGCATCAGGATATTTAAGAAAATTGGCTTTCTAAATAAACATGCAAGGACTGTACATCCAACTGACTTAAATGTGCGACAGACAGTAATGAAGTGGAGTAAAGGAAAATGTAAATTTTGTCAAAGGCAATTTGAAGATTCACAACATTTTATAGATCACCTTAATAGGCACAGCTATCCAAACGTGTACTTTTGTTTGCATTTTAATTGCAGTGAGTCCTTTAAGCTACCATTCCAGCTTGCTCAGCATACAAAAAGTCACAGGATATTTCAAGCTCAGTGCAGTTTTCCAGAATGCCATGAGCTCTTTGAAGATCTTCCTCTTCTGTATGAACATGAAGCTCAACACTATCTAAGTAAAACACCAGAATCATCTACACAGCCAAGTGAATCAATTATTTGGGATGTTCTTCCAGACTCAAATCCTAATTATCAAGAAAAAGACTCATGTAATAATGACAAACAAACAATTAGTCTGCCAGTTTGTAGTAGTAAATTAAGGAAAGATTATTCAGAACCAAAGATGTTTATAGAAAATATGGGAAAGAAAACAGATAATTTTGCTCAGAATGGAAATGAGCATTCTGATGACACTGTTTCAGATATAAACTTGATAGACCAAAAGATGCCTAATATAGAGCCAAATTCTGAAGATAATTGTATCGTTAGACATCATTTAGTCAATGGACATAGTGAAATAGAACAAACACCTTTAGTTTCATCAGATCCTCCTTTGAAAATTGATGCAAATAGATCCAGGACAGAAAATGGTTCTGTTTTACCCAGTGTTGTACCACAAGAACACAGTACTCTGCCGATATCTCAGGCACCTTCCAAACCAAATCTGACAAGTGAACATACTTCGTATGGCTTAATTTTAACAAAGCCTTATGTGAGACCATTGCCTCCCAGTTACCTTGACGAACGGTACCTTAGTATGCCAAAACGCAGAAAATTTCTGACTGACAAAGTAGATACCTGTTCTGATCAAGATAATGTTTGTAAAAAATCGGTGAAAAGATGTGGTAAATGCCTGACCACCTACTGTAATGCAGAAGCACTTGAAGCTCACCTTGCACAAAAGAAATGTCAGACACTTTTTGGATTTGATTCAGATGATGAAAGTAAGTCTTTACTCATTTTAGTAGATATATCTGTAGAAATAGAAAATACTATGGGTAAAACTATAGTACACTCTTCATAGTTCAAAAGTAACATTTGTATAGCATAAGCAATAAATTAGTATCCTATAGATGACTTTTTTTAAGCTATACAGTTACAGTAAAATAATATTACTGTTTCTGTTTATAATTCAAGCAGTGAAATTCAGGACCCTTTGAGTATTTTGGATAGACACAGGCCTATGAACTGTAGAAGTCAGAACCTGAACACAAGACTTTCGTACTTTAAAATGCTCTTAGAATTTAGAAGTCCAAAATCAGAGTGCCATCTTTAGGGGAATGCTCTCTGTTGGTCTGGAGGAAAGTCCTTATTTCCTTCACTTTACAGCTCCGGAGTTCACTGGAGATTTCAAAGTGTTCTGACCTTTCCTGGTTCTAGGAATTTCATCCTGGGTCCCCTCATCCACAAAAAGAAAAAAAAAAAGGAAAAATGCACTCACTCCTAGAAGTTATTTCTTAGTGTTCTAAGGTTCCTTCATTTCCTCCCCCTGGCTATGTTCTTTCAATTGTTTTAGAAGTTTTTCTTCATTCCAAATTTTACAAATGAAATAATGTGGGATTTGATGAAAACCTGGTTTCAGTAGCATGTTGGAATAGAAATTGGACAAAGTAAAACTTATAAAAATGAAATTTAAGAAAAGCAAAAAAAATAATTTCATTAGAAAATACTTAATGAAAGTGAGTTTGCCTTTCTACTAATGTTAACATTTTATGTAGGTATAAAATAAGAAGTTATAAAATAATGATAAATCTTAGAATTCAAATTAACATCTATACAATTTTAATTAATACATATGTTCTGTTTTACAGGTGCCTGATAAAAATATTTCAAAAAGATATCTCAAGCAGTAGTATGAGAATAAGCACTACAAGAAAAATGCATCATTAATTTGATATTTTCCTGATGGCCTTAATTTTACAGTGGTCTTGGATTATGAAATATAAAGGCAAAGCACATTTTCTAGAATGAACTTGGAGAAATGTGCTTGTTTAGACTCCTAAAGGGTTATTACAGAACTCCCAAAGTACCAGTTATCCACAAAACCACATTTTTAAAAGTTTATGATAATTAATAAAAGCATGTTCGGTTTCACCCAAGTGAAAAACATGCTCAGGTAACTAGTCAGAAAGAAAAACCAGTTATGGCCTTACAGAAGGGATGTTAACCCTATAAAAAAGGTGGTTGGTTTATATAAACTTCAAGTATTATACAAACGGATTTGTTTTTTCTTTTTATGCATAATTGGATTATATCCTCTGGTCAAACATGGTTTAAGGAACTTTTGCTGTTTGGTTTGTGTTGTAATTTAAAAATTGAAACATGAAAATAAAACTTGATTTTTCACCATATTACTCAGTAAATGTTGTAACTTTTTTCCTGATAACTAAATAAAAAACAGAATCCAAAGAATGCATGTTAACATTGAAAACTAAAATTAATGAATAAACTCTACTGTTTTGCTAATAAGGTTTTATTAGAGGAACTTTTCATCTTTGTAAATTATTAGGTATATTTCAAAGGCAGCAGTGTTGATTGACTAGTAAGGACATCATGCTTGGCAAAATGGAGGTGGTCACTGAAAAAGAAAACAAGGTGGACACAGTGGCTCTAACTGTGGACTCAAACAAAGCAGTGATTCTGATGGTGCAGGATTGTCTAGTGTTTAATTCTGGTGTCCATAAGGTTGCTGGAAATCTGAATTGACTCCCAGCTTACAATAATAACCGTCAGTGTTTTGAGGGAAACTTGGAGTGAACCTAAGACCATTCAAGGCTAGGTGAAGGAAAACACTGAATTGCAAATTCTTCAATGTGAATAATGGTATAAGCACACTGGGATCTTTCTATTTGAATACAGATTAGGTTAGGACATTGCTTGGTAAACCATAATAAGGTCCTTTAGACATTAATGTGAGCTATCCACACATAGTCCTGTAATGATAACTGGCTTTAAATAAATTATGTCAGCTGAGAGTCAGGTAAAATATTCATTTATTTTGTTCAATTAGGAGATTTAACTACAAAATTAAGCCATACTACTCATGCTTTCTTGTTTAGTAGTGATGAATTTGGTCTAAATTTTTATATATAAAAGGAAATATTTACACACAAAAAATGCACAAGAATACAAGAGATGTATTGATACATTATTTACGCTGGTAATTATTCATTTTCCTGAGAAATGTAGATTAATACAAAACAATATTTTTAAAAATTCTTACCAAATTAGTTGTTTTCTGAAAAGAGAAAGCTTCAAGTCCTCCTTTTACCTAATACATTGCTAATCTAAAAGTTAAAAGAGTTAAAAAGACCAAAAACCAGAAAGGTAAATTCTTAAGAGAATGGAGCTATTAATGTACCGATGTCAACCAAATATATCCTGTTATTCCAGTTGCTAAATTTGTTCAAAAGGAATAACCTCATCAGAACCTACTATTACAGATTTTTGGATAGTAAAGCTGCTTCAGTCGGGTTACTGAGGAAATGGCACATTACTTCCAGGGTAGTAGCCAGATTTCATTTAACTAGGACTTCCAGGTTATCTAGGAAAAAAAAATTATCTACTTATCATAGGACATCACTTCTATGCAATGATGGTTAGAAGTCCATACCAATCAAAATTGTGTTTATTTTTCTTTTGTTATGTAGCCTATATTAGGCTGTGGAATTTATATTTAAACAAACATAATCAGATTTTTAAAATCCTTTCTTTAGCATCAACTAAAGAAAACATTTTCCATACTTCTTGATACTAAAAATGTCATGAGTTCTATTTTGGTTCAATTTTAAAGTAATAAAAATTCTATTTGAAAACTTGGCTCATTTGGAAATGAAGTTTTTCTTGAACTATAATTTCTGCTTTATACACTTTCCAAAAATTTAAAATAGCGTAAAATGCCATCACATTAGTTTACGTTTTCATAGACATTGTAACCAATGGCATAAATCCATGCCCATAAACTTTTAACATTTTCATTAATTTTGAAGTACATACTAAGATGCTTTTAAATATAGTCCACTTTTTTCCTTTATGTTGATGTCTCCATTTATGCTACTGATAACAGGAAAGAATGAGATATGATTGATTTATATTTAAATATATTTAAATGAGATTATTTTATAAAATTGTATTTGACTACACTATCTTCAACCTCTTTATTTACATACTCAATCTTTAATGAAAAAAATATGTACATTTTACTTTGTATCTTAAAATATAAACTTAAATCACTTTGCTTTTAGGGGTACATGAACTTCCAACACTTCTAATTTGTGTTTCAGAGGAAAAACCATACTCCACTTTTTTCTCTTCTACTATTATGAGAATATATTTATCTTACATGGACCAAGTTTCAAACTTTTGTTAAATAAAAATGTCCACTAAAATTTACTAACTTTCTGCTCTATTTTAGTGAGATTAAAAAGAAAAAAAACAAATCTGACTTGTTGCTGCTCATATACTGTGGCAAAAGTAGAAAAGGGACATCTTTGTGGGCAAGGACACTGGTACTTTGGGCTTTAGCCATATTCATTTTATGATTTTTTTTTTAAAAAACTACCAATTTGACAATTTGAATAGCAAGGTTATAACATTAACCTTGTGTGTTGGTTTTGTTGTGGGGTTTTTTTTGTTTTGGGGTTTTTTTACTCACACTGAAGGTTCAGCTGTACTCCTTTCATGTTTGGTTTAATACTGTTTTATGGATAAAAACCTAAAAGAGAGATGATAGTGTTTATTTTTTAATTTATTTGATACTGTAAAACACCTTTTCAGAATGAATAAATGCTGCATATGCATTTTAGAATTGTTAATATGTGAAAGATATTATAGATTCAGCAAGAAAGGAAATTTGTGCTTCCTTGTTGAACGTTATTTTACTTTGCATTTTATAAGAGTACAAGTTAAAACTGAGCCATTGAACTGCAATAAATCAATAGTGTTTCATTTCAAGAAATTTTTTGTACTGTACATAGATATGTTCAATAAAACATTGTCCTTGTTGGTTAATGAAGTGTTCAGTTTTATGTAGAAGACTGCTTTCAAATGAAATGTGATTTATTTCAAGCATATATTAAGAAATTTATGTTCTTTTATAAGGAAATGTGTAGCTTTACTATCTTCAGTGGGTCTTATACTAATATTTTTCAAAAACAGTAAAGTAAAAATGTCAAAGTTTTCATATATTGAGATACAAAGCATGTTTTGGGGATATTATTTTAACCAATGTTCACACGCAGAGATATAAATTAATAGATTCTAGTAACTAAAATAATTTCCAGTATGTGGTTTCAATATGATCTCTACAAACCTAGTAGGTGGAAGACCTTGCCAAAAACAAGACAATAGACTTGGTAAATTCTTCAAAGAACCTCTAGTAGAATTTCAAAATAATTTTAAAATAAAACCAAAGAAGTCACTTAGAAATAGTGGGATGTAAATGATGAAAATGACTTGTTTATAAAACGTTTCCATGGGAAAATGTAAGGTTAGTTAAGAATTTGTAACCATAAATGATAACCTTAGTGAAGTTTGTTTGTTGTTTTTTGTGTTTTTTTTTTCTTCTTCATTAATGTAGATAGCTCTGGTGGCCTAGTGTTAAGAAACTGTCCTGCAATCCTGGAGGCATATGCTTTGCTTCAACGGGAAAAGATGGTCAATCTTCTTTTGTGGGATTAATTAATGGGTGGATTCTGACATGATTGTGGTGTCTGTTGTTATGTGCCATCAAGTTGCTTGCAACTCATAGCGACCCCATAGCTCTGAACTCTGCTCTAGCCTGAGCCAACTTTATTGTCTCTGACACACCTATCCCCCTTTTAAAAAAAAAAAATTTATTCTGATTTATTTACAAAGTTTGAATACATTGTTTTTCACAAAAGATCATTCCAATTTTCTTCACCCCACCCACTCATCAAATTGTTCAACCCTGTGATTAACACCCTACATCCCCCCCATCCTCACCCCTCTGTTTCCACTCACCTCTCCCCACCTTAGAGCCTCATACTCATTCTACAATAATGGTATTATACAGTATTTGTCCTTGGACTGAGTTCACTCAGCATACTTCTCTCTAGCTAGTCCTTCCCAAATTAGGTCTCAATTTACAAAATGATTGTTCCTGCATGCTGCATAGCATTCTATTATATGACTGTACCACACCTTCTTAGTCCATTCGTTTGTGGTTAGACATCTGGGCTGTTTCTATGTTCTTGCGATGGTGAATAATGCTGCTGTGAACATTGGTGTACAAGTTTCCATTTGAGCCTCAGTTCTCATTTTCTTGGGGTATATTTCAAGCAATGGAATAGCTGGGTCATATGGAATTTCTATGGTCAGCTTTTTGAGGAAGCACCAGGCTGTCTTCCAGAGTGGTTGTACCATTGTATAATCCCACCAACCATGTAAAAGAGTTCCTATCTCACCATATCCTCGCCATCATTTATTTCTTGCTGACCTGTTGAACTTTGCCACTGTGACTGGGGTGAGATGGTATGTCATTGTGGTTCTGATTTGCATCTCATTGCCAGTGGTTTGGAGCATTTCTTCATATGCCACTTGAATTAGATTCCTCTGTGAAAATTCTTTCTATGTCTTTTGTCCATTTTGTAATTAGATTATCAGTCTTTTTCTTGTGGATGCTCAGGAGTATTGGTTTATTATGAGACTCTTGTCTGAGATGGTTTTGCCAAATGTTTGTTCCTGGCAGTAGGTTTACACACACACCCCTTTTACCCCAGTCACTGAACCTTACTTGCTGAAACTCAGGAGGTCTTAGGCATTTGCTGCAGAAGGTCAAGGACTGCAACCTTCAATGTG